TTTCAGGCAAAATGTGTTCAAAAGCTCGAGGACCCTACTCGTAGGGAGATGTTCATTGCACTACGACCCGAGATGCGCATTGAGTATTTACGTGTTATAGTTGAAGAATGAGTCAACTTTGTACTAATCTTTCATTAGACTTATCAAATATGTATTGTTATTACAGCAGCTACTCTTATTTTATGGTGCTATGTATTATCTGATTTTTTTCCCTATCTTCAGAAAATGTTGTCTCACTTATTTTTTACGCTACCTCTACATATTTTCTTTCATCCTAATCTATTTATCATCTCAGGATGCACCCACTGCAAGACCGTCGCAAAAGAATGGCATGGGCTGCTGCTATAGCGATATTATTGCTGGAGTACTATCGCTCCAGTTATAGACGGATACCACGCATGACGTCCTCTTTTATTGGGGACAAATGGGTGGGTGAGATGCTTGCTGGACATCCGATAAGGTTCAGTAATATTTTCAGAATGACTGCGCCTATTTTTATCGATCTGCTACACGAGTTAAGTCGGAACCACCATCTACAAGGTTCTTCTAGAACAACAACGAGAGAGGTGTTGGCAATAACATTATATATGCTCTCACAGAATGAATCAGTTAGAGGAGCTATGGAGCGATTTCAACATTCATCAGAAACCATTAGTCGATATTTTTCCAAAGGTTTACAAGCACTGGTGAGCTTAACAACACAGATCATCAAGCCAACGGATACATCGTTCGCAAATATTCCTGAACAAATTGCAAATGATTCTCGTTACATGCCGTATTTCAAAGTAAGTATTATTACCTTGTTACTTTAGTTCATTGACCTCTTCAGTTGCTAACTATGATGAACAGAATTGTATTGGAGCAATTGATGGCACTCATGTAGATGCCAGACTACCAAGTCACGAGAAGATCGCGTATATTGGTCGGAGTGGTACAACCACACAAAATGTTATGGCAGTGTGTGATTTCAACATGTGCTTCACATTTGTAATGGCGGGGTGGGAAGGAAGTGCGCATGATAGTCGCCTTTTCTCCTACGCCACTAGGAATAGAACACAGTGTTTCCCTCACCCACCTCCAGGTTTGTTCATTTTACTTAAAACCTCGCGAAAATTACATTAATTATTTTTAATTGGTACTGTCTTTAATAACAGGAAAGTATTATTTGGTAGACGCTGGATATCCGATGTTAAGAGGCTACCTAAAGCCATATCCAGACACAAGATACCATATTCCTGATTTCGAGCGAGCAAGTGGCAATATTCGTGGCAAAAAAGAAATGTTTAACAAGCGACACTCCGCTTTACGGGGGGTTATTGAAAGAACTTTCGGGGTGTGGAAGAAGAAATGGGTAATTCTACGTGATATGCCATCCTATTCATTTCCTAAACAAGTGTATATTGTGTTGGCCACCATGGCACTTCACAACTTCATCCGACGTCACCCCTCTCATTCAGATACGGACTTCAATATCAGTGATGATGATGAAATTATTGATACTCTAGAACCTTCAGGATCTCTAGCTGATAATGAGATGGACTCGATTGAATATGAAACTCAGGATGGTGAGGGTGCA